AAATAGGTAGAAACCCCCATTGAGAGTAAAGGGGGGTTATGGCTGATTTATTTGACTGAGAGGGAATCACAACCACAAAAAAGTACTACTCTAACAGTTCCAGAAGTATCTGGGTTACACCTGGAAGTGTCTGTCAATAAAGACACAACCTGTCATCCCTGTCAACTGACAGTGCCCCAGATTAATAGACAAAGGAACCAGGTGAGGTTGTAAATAATATGAAAAGGCTGAGGTCCCCACTAAACTAACTTCAGATCCGCTGAGCCAAATGAAAACAAACCCCCAAATAGCTACGAACTCAGCATAGATCTTTTTCACTTATATTCATCTCAAATAAGTTCCAAAATTGTCCACATGCTCATAAAATCCACAGCACGGTATTTCGTCCCCTAACAGGGCCTGGTGTGCATAAGGATTGTTCAGGGCCTCACAACTCTCAATTAGAAATTATTGAGTGATCTTGTTTTCTCAGAGGCCTCTGCTTCTCAAGTGTTAGGAGTCTGTCCTCATAAAGTGTTTTTTTTTTTTAAATTAAAAATCACAAAATGAGAAAGAACTGATAAGTGTGATCCACAATGAAAGGCCTGTGTTAACATTAGGAGAGTTTTATTGTTAGAATTGCACTGTTAGCTTTTGTCCCCTCATAGAAGATTCCATCTGACAGTGAACCAAAGAGACAGTAGGTCCAGTATCCTACACCTTCCTTTCCCCCACAAACCTTCTTATTTCTCCAGAAGGCAGAAACCATAGTTTTACTTAATATTCTCCAAAGAGTCCTAAATATTCTGAATTTTTTTCTGCCTGAATTTTATCTCAATAATTCAAAGTGAAGGCAATGTCAAAGTTGATTAAAGAAAATGTTGAATTCTAGGCTTTCAGGAAAATGCATAGAACAGACCCCATGGACATCTGCCATGTATTTCCTTCCCAAGATAGTGAGAGGGGTCACATCAAAGATTCTAGGAGATGAGAAAGAAATGGTGAGGTGAGAAGAGGCCGGAGAAACTGGCTGGCCCCAAGCGGCAAATGGAGTTTATCGTGAGGTCAGAGCGCCCTCAGTACTGCCATCCTACTTGGCTGCTATATAGCAAGATTATTTTTAGCTGCTTCTCTTTTTGCATATTTCAAGTAGACATACTCAATACTTATTGTTTACTTTCAGGTCACTTGAATGTATAAAGGCTCTGCAGGTTGTGACATCCCAATGGCATGTGTACAGACAAGTACAGGCCTGAAATTTCTTGTAGAGAGTTCTAAAACTATAAGCAGAATTGGATCCGTACTATATACAATCATGAGGCCTCATTTCAGTGATGCAAAAGAGTCACAACCGTGCTTCCCTGTGAGTTTTCATAGAACGAAACCATCCCACAGCATGCTGTCCCTCCCCACACTGCTGTAAAAGTAACAAATGCCGTATAAATTTAGGGCCTCGGCTCTAGCAGAATTTGCCAATTCCTGATCCCTGTGGGGGTTTTGTCAAGGCACACTTCATTCTGCAGCATTTGAGAACGACTCTGGAACAGCCCTCTGAAGCAATCGTTAGCCACTGCCTACTGCACAGCAGTCAGTAACAAGTGCATTCAAGAGCCTGCGCTAGAGTTATTCTGAGGCAGCTACCACCAGCCAGGCTGAGAAACTTCTCAGGTATCTGGTTTGACTGTTCTTCCATCCTGACTCATAGGAAAACAAACACACTTTTTCTTCATTATTTTTCCCCTAAATGTTCATATCTTCTCTCCCCTGGGTCATTGCTTCAGGTGAGTCCTTAAAATAATTGCAGCTATAGGGCCACTGCCATGGTCAGTCCCAGGCACTTCAAATTAACCCCACAGCTGTGTACTAGTCTTAATGCCTGTACCATTCATTACCCCCTTTGCTACTTTAGACCAGCTTACTCCAGAATAAGACCTAACACCGAACATCATCAAACCTACTGGTTTATCTTAACCTCAGAGTCATCTATCATCATCTTCAGTCTCACAATAGCCTGTAACTCTAGTTCCTGGGGATCTGGTACCATTTTCAGGCCACCAAGAGCATCAGGCATGCAAGTGGCACACAGACATACAGACAGACAAAACTCATACGTGTAAAATAAGAATGAATCTTTAAAAAAAAAAAAGTAAAAGACTGAGGAAACAGGCCTACACTGTCCACCTGCTTAGTTTTTCTGAGAAGAGGAGAGCTTTTGCCCTGTACAGCCTTCCTTTGGTTTAGGGTAATGTTCAGCTCTGCTGTAAACCCCCCACCTTCTCTAAATAGCAGAAGTTTTGTGTAAGGTTCTATGCTTGGCTGCCCCAGCAGGATGACTTCAGAGAGAACTGAATATGGGAAGCCCCAAGAAGCAGAGGGTTCCCTCTATGATAGAGAAGAGGTAGCCTTTGATGTAAAGTCACCAGGAAAAGGCCCTGGCATCTTAACTACAATTGACCTATTTATTAGACAAAAGCAAAGGCCAAGTTCATGCCCTCTTCCCTCTGACTTCACTTAAGCTCAGGAAAACAAAAACAGTTGTGTAAGTGTCTGTGCAAATCCCTGTAAGCCAATTCAAGGAGGAAATCATCTACCTCTAATCCCAGTCACTGGTGGCATTCTGGGACACTGGAGCTTTCCCAGGTGTGCCTTCCACCAGGAAACAGAGGCAGCATGGATTTGGAGAAATTTTTAGGTACAAGAAAACAAAGTGGCCCCATCCAATAATGTAGTAGTAATTCAACTACTACATACAGGTCTTATTATTATAACCATCCAAATCAAAATGAGGACTGACAAGATGGCTCAGAGGGTAAAGGCACTTGCTGCCAAACCTGACAGCCTGATTTCAATCCCTGCACCCACAGGGTAGAAGGAGAGAACCAACTCCCACAAGTTGTCCTCCTCTCTCCCTACCTCCCTCCACACACATACCGTGGCACATGTATCCACACACACAACAATTAAAAACCATACCATACTAACAGCAGCCATGAACCATGAGATATATCGGATGTTGATTGTTTCTCAATTTTCTTATTGCATCTAAACATCATAGCTATCACATAGGTCCCACCTGCTCAAGCTTAACCCCCCCTCACTTGAATCCCGGCTGTATGGAGGAGAACCCAGGTGGAAATGTGGTCATACATGGCTAGCTCCATTCCAAGTCTCCTCCAGAGCTTCAAAAACTCACAGCTGAGCCAGAATGTTTCAGCACTCAGGGAGGCTCCAGACAAGTCTGCCCAATTTTATATAAACGCTTAGATAGGCATGGAATGAGTTTTCTGGATGTCTAGTTTTTCATTCTATTCATTTCTCTCTTCATTTTTGTTGCTATTTTCTATTTATTTATTTGTTCATTTGCCTTATTTTTTTTCTAGTTCTACTCAAATTAGGAAGCAATGCACTTTCCCAGGAAGCCTCTTCAAATAGTTTGCTCTTTAGTCTAGTGAAAATACAAACCTGATAGGGTCATTTTTTTTTAAAGTCGCATTCACATATCTTTAAGGTAGATAAAAACCCCATGCCTTCAACCAAATCTAGTCAAATTAGAAATTTCCTAAGTGGATTACAAATGTTAAACTCAGAAGCGATCCCAACCACACTTTTTTGTTGATAAAGAAGTTTTAGTCCTTCTAACTGTCTCACTTCATATACAAGGCAAGTGGAAACATTGACCCCAAAAGTATTGAGCCTTGTTGCCCTTAGACTCTAAGGCTTTGAGTGTTGCCAGCTAACCACCAGGCCATACTAGACATGCCTTTTGGCAGCACTCTGCCTTTTGGCTCTGGTCTTTATTTTGTAGGTGGGGTCATGGTAAAGACCTGATCTGGTCTTTATGTAGATAATATCCATCTGCAATCTAAAAGCAGTGCCTTCCACTATTTGGGCCATCTGGTCTACCTACTGAAAAACATAGAAAAATTTCTTTCCAGCAAAGAAATATATGGCTGAAACTAGGATCAACAAATGCCTCACTGGAGGAGTTAGAGCTGAGGATGGAGTCAATGGCTTCCCTGGAAAATGTTTTAAAATGCTTGTGGCTCAGTTCCACATTAATACAGCAGCAATCAAAATAGACTGAGGGAAAAGTTATGAATAGACTTATTTTGTAAAGTCACTTTACACACCCAGCAAAACCAACCAAGGGTAACATCGGCTCTCTGAGCATTGATGTTACTTAAATCCCTCTTTTGAGTGCCTTCAATTTAATTTGGCCAGTTAGGTGCATTTTGTTGCTTTTTCCTAGTTTTCTGGAAAATAAAAAAGGAGCTATGCAGATGTTGCCCACTGTGTGGAAGGACTGAACATGCTTAGTGGGAGTGCCTTGCTGACTTCTGAATGAAAGCCTTGTTACCTGAAGGTGTTTGCCAGATAAAGTTTGACATGAACCCTGAGGGCAAGGGAAAGAATTAGCCTTTTCAGTATGACTGCCAGTGTCCCATACCCAGAGGTGATATCAGTGCTGGATTCCATCCTTGAGCTCCTCCCACCATTTAGAGGTGACAGTTCCCTAACTCCTGTTTAGAATAACTAGTCCAAGTATCTAGATCAGCCCTGAAAAGATCCCAGATGGTGACCAGCCTGCCTACCCTTCAAGTCTTCCATACCGATGTGGGGAATATCATTCTTGTTCTTTAAAAAATATTGTCAAACACATGCTTTGTTCACTTTGGTCAGATGGCCACTTCCAAGCTGTCAGCTTTGCCCAGCTGCTCCAAAGACTAATTTGTAAGTTTAAAATAAAACCATATCCAAACTCACAAACATGAAGACTGGGTGTGTGAGGACCATAAGTTTGGGCTCCAGGGTTCAACCTAGCCCACAACCAGGTCCACGCAGCCTCCTTTTTAGCCACTAGAGGGAAGGACAATCCCAGACCTAATTCAACCCACTGTGACCACCAGTGGAGTGTAAGAGTTAGCCATGGTCTCTCTGAGGGTACAAAGGTATTGTGGGTTATTCTGCGTCCCAGGCTAACATGGGGAGAATAACCTATTTCATTTTATTTTTTTTTCCAGTTCTCTCAGGCCAGGCACACCACAGCCCTTTGAAACGATCTGTTTCCCTTACCCCACCCATGAATGTGCCAAACCAGCCTCTAGGACATGGATGGATGTCTCATGAGGACTTACGAGCTAGAGGACCCCAGTGCCTCCCATCCGATCATGCCCCCCTGTCTCCACAAAGCAGTGTAGCCTCTTCAGGAAGTGGTGGGAGTGAACACTTAGAAGATCAGACCACTGCTCGTAACACATTCCAAGAAGAAGGTAGTGGTATGAAAGGTGAGTGACCACATGAGGAACCAAGAGGCCCTCCCTTGATTTGGAGTCCAAGGGGAAAGAGAGGTGGTCAGTAAGAGAGATGGAGCCCAGCTCCTTACCTTAGGCTTGTGTGTTCAAGCCACACCTTCCAGAACTCCAGAACTGGCCCTGGAGGACAGGGCTTGGAGCCTCTTCCCAGCTGATAATGATGTTAGCTGGTGAGACAATAGCCAGGCAGCCTTTTGGGACAATGCCAAGGGCAGGCTCTGAAAGTGCTCTGAAGCTGCCATTAATACACAGTCCTTAAAGTTTACTATTTCTGATCTTTGATCAGTGGTCGATGGTCATTTGCCCTGACCCAGAAGCCAGAGCAAAGAAGGTTGACATCCTCTTTTCTGATTTCTGTGCACAGACTCTTGGACAATAGGGGCTCCTGCTACCCTGGATAGGGTCATCTGAGAAAAGGCCAAGCTACTCTACCCTCTGCTTTGCTGTGGCCAGGGACCTGTCACTAATTCAGAAACAAACAAACAAACAAACAAACCAAAAAAAAAACTATTGATCTTTTATATCTTTACTTTCTCTCAGTGAAGCATTGTAGTAATACTTCTTTTTATTACCCCCTTTTTGTTCGATGGCCAAAGAAACCTTAAGGCCCCTTTCTCTGCATCTGCTTCAGGGACGTGAAAACCTTTGGTGTTTTAAGCCTGATAGTAGATTTGCATATTGATGATAAAGGCTTATTGTGCAGCCTAAATAAATGTTCCTACATTGGCTGTCAATGTACCCTCTCCTACAGATCCTCCTCGGGAGACGGAGATTTCCAAATTACTGTTGATGGGTTCACAGAGGATGCATGCATTCTGTATTTTTAGACACCAGTTGTTGGAGGGATAGAAGTCCTTAGGGAAAGATACTCATCAGAGACATGCTGATAACAATGTTAGCTAGTGAGACAACAACCAGGCAGGCTTCTGGGACAATGCTGAGGACAGGCTCTGAGAAGGGCTTCCATGCTGCTTTTAATCCACACTCCTGATGTTTGCTGTTACTAATCCTCCCCTTACAAAAGAGGAGGCTCTTGGCCTCATCCCTCCCAACATGGGAACCTAGCACAGAGAGTATGCCCTCATCTTCTCAGGTGCCAGATATGAGAGAGAGCTAGGCTGAACAGTGGACCCCATCAACTTAGGGAGTGAGGCTCCAGTCTTTCTCTCAGTGGTTTCTGGAGATGTCTCCCTAGCCCAGTCCCTTCCCATGATAGTCATGTGATGAGAGACCTGTGAAATTTGGGTGTGTCTTCAAATTTTCCTCTGGGGATGCAAATGGGTCTTTATTTGCAATGCAGCTAATGCAATGGGTCATTTGGGCATATAGGGTGTATAACCCTCTTCCACAGGGCTTAGGGAACTGCACCATAATGTTGAAGAATAGGCAAAACCCATTCCGAAGCAATGCTATGTCCAGTGTCTGGACATCCTGATTCCGGGACAGAACCCCACTGGTTATTCAAAGGAGCATTGACTGGATGTTGACCAACATGTGGACTTAAGAATAGGCCATTTGCTTGGAAGAATGCTGACTTCACTGTCTGGTGTCTGAACATGCTTAGTCGGTCCTTTTACTTTACTTTCTTTCTTTCTTGTTATTTCTTCATTTGTTTGGAGGGCTTATACACACACTCTCCCAAAGTGTGCAAATGTGTGCTTGCGGGCTCCTAAGGTAAGACGTGAATAGAAATGATGTACTGATTTTAAAGAAACATGAGCGAAAGGGGAAATTGAATGAATATCCCATTTGCTTGGTTTTGGGGGGGTTGTTGTTGTTTTCTGGATAAAAAGTCAGACACTTCCCAAAACTCAAGGGGCACCTATAGATAAGCTCTCTTGACTCCTTTCTCGAGAATTAATAAGAATTGTCTTCTCAAAGCTTAGTCACAGAGTCACGCCGACAAAATGTCATACCCAAGATTTTCATTGTGAGCGCATAGGTATCAGTGAAAAAGAAGCTCTCTGGTGACTGGTTGGAACAAAGGATTCTCTCCATGTGTTTCTGCCTGCTTTCATCTATTGAACTTACTTTTCTTAAAGAAAGTGGATGGGGAAATCAATGTATAAGGACACTAGCCAGTAACAGGGAAAAAATTCAAGAGAAGGAATGTAATAGATGATGAATTCTATTAATAGGGAAAATACATTTCACTTCAGCTGACAATGTCAGGTAATAGAAATGTCCAAACCCCCCAAACACATTCTGATGTGGCATAGGGCCAGTATTTGTTGAGCACAAATGTTCCTTACCCAGCCCTGTAGTGAGGTGGCCACCAAGAACTCCTCTACATGTAGGTTACTCAACATGGCCTCTTAAAGTTGCATCTAGGAATCAGCCATTAATATACCCATCCCAAGGGTTTGTCATTTGGTCTCCAGGCCTAAAAGCAGATGATCATGTGAATTTCCAAATGAAGTATCACTTTCTGAGTAGTGGCCTATGAAGTTGAGTGATGTATCTGAGAAGAACCAGCTCTAAAAGTGGAACCCCATGCTTGCTGTCCTGTGCCTTGGGTCCCTTGGCAGGGGCAGAGACACTCAAAACAGCTGCTTTTCTAATTTTCAAATGTCTGATCTGCAAGAACAAGGAAGCTGGAGTAGAATTTGGAAGGGTTCCCATATCCTCTGGGAATACATATCACCCTTGCTTCACATCTTGGAAAAACAATAAAAGCCATCATAAATTGCATTCATCTTTCTAGCCAAGTGGTTGGTGTACATGGCTGAAATCCTGGGTTTGTTCTTGCCTACCTTCTCATCTGGACAGAATAGTCAGCTTGGCTACCATCCTCCCTTGGGAATGGCCCTCTTGGGTCAAGCATACAGAATAAGCCCTCGGGATTAATTGCTTCCTCCTGAATCTCTGTGCTTTGCTTCTTCTAGTAAACACTTTTCCTAGTGATTTTGGGTTGGCTGTATGGAACAAACACATAGGGCCCTGGGCTAAAGACAAGCCAAGCATAGGATTGAGTACCTCACTTGAACTCTCAAGCAGCAACATGAGCCGGAATATGAAATTTTCCTGTTACCAATCCCTCAGGACGCGGCCACTTAGAAGTGTTTGGACTAGCTATGCTGGCTATGTTTTAAATTCTGGTGTCTGTGTTCTTTTCAAAGGTTTCACTGTGACTTATCCCAGGAGAGAGACTCTTGATTCTGAGTCGGCACTAAGCTATAAGATCCCTCATTTCCAGGGAGCAGATGAATTGAATATACTCTTAGTTCTTATCTCAGGTGGGAAGAGAGAAGAAAGTCTCATATTACTAAATTATTTCTTTCCTAGAAAGAAGGCAGCCTGGTGACAGAAGGAATGTATCTGCCCCTCAGAGTAGCACGGCAAACTCTCTGTGACGATGAAGCCAACATCCAGAGGTTTATCCGAGGGCCAGGCTCCTGGTGTGGCTTTGGTATTGGAGAAAATCCTTGATTCGATTTTGTCCTCATTTAAGTCATTGGACTTCTCAGTACCTCCTGAGCTCTGGGGAGACTCACATTAACACCAGGTAGCTGATGCGGAGACACTGCTGGGGAAGAACAGTCTCTCAGACATTTGTCTGCGCTTGAAGCAAGCATCAAGACAGGCCCAATTCAAACAGGATAGAGGGCTCTAGAATAGGTATGACCTGTAGCTAAGCCTCAAAGCATGGTTACAGGTCACCAGTATAGACGGAAGGTATTCTGTGCTGAGGGGACAGCATTGTGAACTAGTGTAAGGAAGGGGAACAATCTATGGCTAAGGTATTAAAGGCAGGTGGCAAACAGATCTGCACAGGAGGAGCTGGATCTTCACCTTGCAAAGGATTGTGCCTGGTGCCTTTTATTCTGAAATTGCCAACGGAATTTATACATTAAAGCCACCTGCTTAAATTTGTGTATTAGCAAATGGAACCCGCACAACAGTATGGAAAGTAAAGGGGAGGGGTTTCTGGATTTGAAAGCCAATGGAGAGGTGGAGGATTTTTCAGCAATAGAGGAAAGTGACCCTGGGCCAATTCAAGTGGCGATGAGAATGGGGACCAAGGACTGTGACACAGTAACTCCATGAGAAACAATTGTGAGGACTTGGTGACAACTGAATGTGACAGCTGATGAGGAGGAGGCATTTAGGATGACATCCAGGTTTCTTCGTGGGATATCTAGAGGAGTCCTCTATGTTGCAGGGCCTATGGGAATCAATGAGGGGCAGTCTGGGGCATGGTGAATAGGGGACCTTGGAGCAGTCCTGTGGAGGTGTCCAAGTACTGGGTGACCGGACAGGGGCTCCATGCTCCTCCATGGCTGAGCTGAGCAATTTCAGTGTTAAGCATACATGAAAGGGTGTTGGGAAGTTCCTCTGGAGGAATGCATTCCAAGAGTGGGAAAGCAAATGGATTTGGCTGTAGGAAGAATGGTTGGTTGCCTGGATGAGGGAGTAGAGATTGATACTATATGCTCTTGGTGGGAGCTGCAGCCTCATTATCGCAGAACAACATTAACTGGGTATACTTGTGGCATGCTGCTCCCCATTAGCACAAAAATACAGAGGTAATAGAACTACTTGATTATTATGTGTGTATGGGCATAATAGGGACAAAAAAGGGAGCTCCTGGCTGGAGTAACATTGACAGGCACACAGTAGTTAAGAATGGAGAAGGCCATTGACTGTGAAAATGTTTATCTTTTTAAGGAAGTCTCTCTGCTGAAACTTGAGTAAACTTTTTCTCCCCGTAACAAATAAAACATATGGTCTCCTAGCAAATAGCTGGTTTAGAATTGGAGTTGTTTTTGAAATGTGGGTCTTTGATCCTTGGCCTCTCTCAGAATGTAAATGAGAGAAATTATTTAGAGGTGAGCTCTTTAAAAAAAAAAAAAAAAGGAAATCGTGAGAAAACTTTGTAGGAAAGATTTTTGCATGCAGCACTTCTGGGGGTCTTAAAGGTCTGAGTGACGGAGCGGGCGTGGTGTGGTGCCATGAGTGACACACTTTTCAGC